GCTGAAGAAGCTAATTTGGGAGAAAGTTCTTTTCGTAATACTCCCATGATTTGTAAGGGACAAGTGAAAGGATGGACCGTTGATATTATTCTTGACAGTGGATCCTCCACCAGTATTATCTCTCGAAAATTCTTGGAGCACTTAGGATTACAAGTTACCTGAAAATCTGAACGAATGATAACTGGTATTCATGGCAACAAGAAATCCAGTATGGGAATTATAGAGGATGTGCCAGTTCACCTGAAAAATGTAGTTATCTCTACCAGTATGGAAGTAATCGACACCCAAGCCTATAATATGGTTCTAGAAACTGATTGGTTACGAAAAGCCTGAGCAGTAATTGACTACCATGATTGTAAAGTAACTATTAAAGATGGAAAACGGGAATCTGTTATTGTTTGCTGAAATACTACCTTACCTGTCCTACTTAAAGAGGAGGACAGTGACGATGAGGATAGTGATGAAGATTCTGACAAGGAAGAAGATGAAGAGGAAGTTACTCTTGGTCTAGTAGTAACTGAAGAAGAAAGCCCAGATCAACACGCTTACGAATTTGATGTCTGGGGAATAAAAATTGATCAAGAAGATTTCACCTGGCAAGAATACGACTATTTTGAATGACAATTTAATCCATGGATAACCAACCAAAAATGGGCACACCAAATTAAACATTGGTATCAAGGTCCTGATAAACAATGTTGATGCCATAAACAACTAGAGGAAATTAATGATAAATGTAATACATGTGAGGATGACTATTCCCGATGGGAAACTATTAAAGTTCTGCCAACTCAAGAAGCTCGCCATTCCCAATCCTTATTAGTAATGGGAGGAGCAGATGAATTGAAAAATAATGAGCATAAGGAACTTATCCAGATCCTAATTTATAAATATCCACAAGCTATAGCTCATGACATGACACAATTGGGACAAGTTAACATAGTTACGCATCACATTGACACAGGGAATGCTCTTCCAATTCGACAACACTATTACTGGATGTCACCCCGACATGAAGCTTTTATTAAGGAGGAAATCGAACGATTAAAACAACAGAAATTAATTGTTCCATCGCATAGCCCTTGG